AACTCAGAATTGCGATATAAACTCAGTTTTGCGAGATTTAAACTCAGAATTGTGATATAAATTTAGTTTTGCGATATTTAAACTCAGAATTGTGATATAAACTCAGTTTTGTGAGATTTAAACTCACAATTGAAAAACAAACTCAGAATTGCGATATAATCTCAGCATTGCGCGATTTAAACTCTGATATAAGATATAAATTTAGTTTTGCGATTATTTAAACTCAGAATTGCAATATAAATGTAGTTTTGCAAACTCAGATCTCAGATTGCGATATAAATTTAGTTTTGCGAGATTTTTAAACTCAGAAATAAACTCTAAACTCAGTTTTGCGAGAATTAAACTCAGAATTGCGATATAAACTCAGTTTTGCGAGATCAGAATTGCGAAATATAAACTAAGAATTGCGATATAAATTTAGTTTTGCGATATTTAAACTCAGAATTGTGATATAAATTTAGTTTTGCGATATTTAAACTCAGAATTGCGATATAAACTCAGTTTTGTGAGATTTAAACTCACAACTGAAAAATATAAACTCAGAATTGCGATATAATCTCAGCATTGTGCGATTTAAACTCAGAATTGCGATATAAACTCAGTTTTGCGCGATTTAAACTCAGAATTGCAATATAAATTTAGTTTTGCGAGACTTAAACTCAATTGCGATATAAACTCAGTTTTGCGAGATTGAAACTCAGAATTGCGATATATACTCAGTTTTGTGAGATTTAAACTCAGAATTGCGATATAAACTCAGTTTGCGAGATTTAAACTCAGAATTGTGATATAAATTTAGTTTTGCGATATTTCAACTCAGAATTGCGATATAAACTCAGTTTTGTGAGATTTAAACTCAGAATTGCGATATAAATCCAGTTTTGCGATTATTTAAACACAATTGAAAAATATAAACTAAGAATTGCGATATAAACTCAATTTTGCGAGATTTAAACTCAGAATTGTGATATAAATTTAGTTTTGCGATATTTAAACTCAGAATTGCGATATAAACTCAGTTTTGCGAGATTTAAACTCAGAATTGTGATATAAATTTAGTTTTGCGATTATTTAAACTCAGAATTGCAATATAAATGTAGTTTTGCAAGATTTAAACTCAGAATTGCGATATAAATTTAGTTTTGCGAGATTTAAACTCAGAATTCTGATATAAATTTAGTTTTGCGATATTTAAACTCAGAATTGTGATATAAACTCAGTTTTGTGAGATTTAAACTCACAATTGAAAAACAAACTCAGAATTGCGATATAATCTCAGCATTGCGCGATTTAAACTCAGAATTGTGATATAAATTTAGTTTTGCGAT